CGGACTAATTTTTTTTTAATTTCAGATCAAACCTTATAACAAGAGTAGTTCTTTCTGGGTTACTGTTGTTGCTTTTTTGTTTGCTTACCTTTTCTTGTGGGGAGGGAAAGGGGTATTACACTGTAGCTTCAAACTCATGGCAAGCATACAAACTGAGATCAGGCCCAGCTGGTAATTTTGCTGTTGTTTTTATTTTCTGAGGGTCTTCATTATGTTGTCTAGATGGCCTCAAATTAACACCCTTCCTGCCTCAGCCTCTCAAGTGCTGGGATCACAAAGCTTGTGATCTATGTTTGGCCCTTGGAAGGCAGCATTTATTTATTTTTGGTTTTCCAAGACAGGGTTTCTCTGTAGCTTTGGAGCCTGTCCTGGAACTGGCTTTGTGGACCAGGCTGCCTGCCTCTGCCTCCCAAGTGCTGGGATTAAAGGCGTGCGCCACCAACACCCGGCTGGGAGGTAGCATTTAAAAAAATATTTTTTAATGTGTATGGATGTTTCGTTTGCCTGTATGACTGTTCACCATTATGTATGTGCAGTGCCCACAGAGGAGGGTGTCTGATCCTCTAGGACTGGAGTTAGAGATGGTTGTTAGCTACCATGTGGATGCTGGGAATTTTTTAGAAGAGCAGCCAGTGCTCTTAACAGCTGAGCCATCTTTCCAGCCACCAAGCGGTGGTATTTTTTATTTTCATCTTCCAAATAGAGAAACTGGCAAAAACAGAACTTACACTGACATGGCTAGTGAGGAGACTAGGCTCCAGAACCCATGACCTTGACCACTAAGTCATATAGTACCCTACTTCCTAATACTCCACTCACATGGAAGTAGCCATTCATGTTGAGGCCCACGATGCCAAAGTGATATGATCGGGAAACATCTGGGATGATGCACTCTCGGCCTTGGCGCTGTTCCGGCATCCGCATCCACATGTCCCAGTCCCATAGCTGGGGACACAGAATGTTATGAAGGCTACAGGTTTGGAGTTGATGGGTACTCCAGCCCATTCATCCTATCCTGCTGGCTACCTTTTCTGGTGTGGGCCACTTGGGCTCAAGCTCCTCCTTGTATAAAGATTTCCTGAGCACCCATCCCAACCCAGGCATGGTCTCCACACGGTACAGTAGTGCTGGATCCTCAGCTGTGTGTTCATAACCCTAAGGATGGGAGGTGTCATAGAGCATTAGCTTCAAGTTTTGACAGACTTGCATGCTGACTAACCCCTGGCCATCCAGCCTACCTGGTCATTCCAAGCAGAGATGCAATACACACTGTCATCTTCCTCCAGCAGGTGGATGGACTGGCTTAGGAAACTGAGACAGCCAGAGTTCAAGAGTTCAGAGAGAGGCAAACCCCGATACACCATGAGATTGGAAGTGCAGACTGGTAGTCTCACGGTCTCCACTGATATTTTCTATATAAGTCCAGCATATGCCCACCTAGCTATGCAAGCTCTCCCCCAACTTTTGAGCTCATTCAAAGCTCTCTAAGGCACCTTACCACATCCTTCCCTGGAGACCCAGTCAAGTACAGAAGTCCCATGAGGCTTATAAGCACTTCAATGGTGGGCTACCCCTGTCACCTGAAAAAATCCACAGCAATGTCCAGGTCCTCTTCCAGAACCACAGCAAACTTGGCCTCCTACAGGGATAGGAGGGAGATCATGGTTCCAAGGAGACTGCTCTCATCTCATGGCTTTCTATCTCCAACCCTCATGTTCAACCACTGCTTGCTCCCCCATTTTTCAGATCAGAAGTACAAGGCCAGGTAAGGGAAGAGTTTTCTCCATAACATAATTTCTCTTCACAGATCCGAGGTATCCGTGGTACTCACCGGAAACAGGTTGAAAGTGGCAGTGAGGCTGGCCTTGTAGTGCTGGGTAGGGAATTGGGCACATAAGATTTGAGGCAGGGAATGGGACCAGGTATCTGTCCCTTATACCCTTGCCAAGGCATACCTGAGACACACGGGCATTCTTGATGCTAATAGGAGTGTGCTGGATGCCCCTCAGACCAAACAGCGCCACCACATCCATTGGCTCCTGGGGGCATAGACACCATTCATCATGTGTGTTACCTTCCCAACAATGGTTACAGGTCCCAACATGTCAAGCCTCCCATATTTCACAGCCCTCAGTACCCACAGCTTTGTGTCCTGCTCTGCCTGAGGCCCCAACCCTACTCACCTCATAGTAGCCATCAATGAAGACAGTTATCATCTGTGGAGATACCCCTTGGGCTGACAGCAGAGAGCGCAGCATCCTGGGGAGCCCAGGAAAGTAGATTAGGGCTTCTTGGTCCTCTCAACTCACAACTCCCATGTTTATAAATGGGCTCATGTGTCCCGTGTCTACCTGGCACCTGCTACCTTTCTGCCTCCTGTAAGAGTTCCTTGTACAGGAAGGCAAACTAAGCACCCACCCACTTCCTGAGCACCCTTGTTCAGTGCTGGGTACAGCCCACTTCCCGCTCACCTGTACAAGTAATTGGGCCGGTTCCCTGCAATGACAGCCACAGGCACATTGAGGACCTTATTGTCTGGAAGCTGTGTGAGAAATAGCTTTTAGCTTCCCTTTATTCCCCCTTCCAACTGGGATCTCCATTTAGGGACGAATTCTCAGTGCAGTGAAGAGCCTCGGGAGCAGACAGGGAAGGGTCAAGGGCCTTCCTTGTCCCTCACTCAGTCCAACTTACTCTGGTAACATGGCCTGACCCACCCCCAACCTGACTTCAGAGTTCAGTACACATATGTCCTGAGCTCCTATCAGGTCAAGGTAAAGAAAACCTAAGCTGTGAATTGCTCCTAAGGCCCTTTGCTAAGTTGTGAAGGAGTCCAAGCCTTGCTGCTTAGACCTTACTTACTGGGTCAGGGCTGAACTCAATAGGTGTTGGGTCCTTGCAGCTGCAAACACTCCCATAGCCCTCAACTTTGCTGCAGAAGCGCCTGCGGCGGCGGTTCAGTTCCGTGTCTGCCCAGTGACACTCGGCCTCTAAGGGAGGGAGGAAATTAACAGGATGAAGGTGTCAGGCCAGGTAGGTTAAGGAAGCCCCAGGCACACAAGGAAAAATAACCTCACAAAGGATCCAAATACCCATTCTCTGCTCAAGCATTGCCCCAGAGCCCAGTCCCCACTGACCCCACCTTCAGCAGAGCTCAATGGTACATCTGTCTTCAGCAGGACCGGGTCACCCCAGGAGGAGAGAGCAGGAGACTTAGAATGTTTCTCGCCAAGAACAGGACCTGGCCAAAGGCAGGAATGAGGAAAAATGAAGGTCCAGACTTGAGTATGAGGCTTCTTCCCAACTCCTTGCCCACTTTGACCAAAAGTATTACGACTGACTCCTATATATCCCCATGCCACACCACTGCATCTCTTATTCTTCTTCTCCTCCCTTGATACCACAGAGTGGACTGCCTTTGGTGCACGAACCTCCTTTTTGTCCCACGAAGGCCCAAGTGTCCCTCCAGCCAAGGGCAGGGCCTGCCTGGCTTCCCAGGCTCCTCAGGAGAGCCTTCGCTGTATCTTTGAGGTGGAAGGAGCCCTCATCCTGGAGGGCCGAAAAAAGACAGTCACCATGACTTGTGCAGGTCCAGGAGACCTGGTCTTCTGCAGTACTAGCTATGTCTCAAGCACTACACAGAAACCTTTGACTTAAGTTGGCTCATCAAGTGACTCCAACAATACTCTTTGGTTACTGTCTTCACAGACAAAAAAGTATTGAAGGCTTAAGAGTCTGAGACTCTGGGCTGGAGAGATGGCTAAAGGCTAGGCTCACAACCAACAATGTTGAGACTCATTTAAGGTCACTCAGATACTAAACCCTTTAGCCAGCGCCTGTGCCCCTGTCACCTTCCCACACTCTTTCCTCAACACTGTCTTCATTTCCCTTTTTCTTTTCCAGCTCCAATGGCATCCCCGCTGTCCTGCAAGCTTGCCAGGCATCTCCCCACTTCAGGGTCTTTTCCGTAGATTATTCTAGAAGTTTCTACCTAGGGTGTTCTTCCTCCAGACAACTACTTGGCTTATTTCTCTCTTCCTCCCATTCTCTGCGCACATACTACTTCCCAATAGAGGTGTCCCCTTCCTAAAATGTGGCCATGACATTCTGCCCCTTTATTTTCTCCTTCTCTTTTCATTTCTTGACATTGTAGGCTGGGTTGGCTGTTTTATTGCTACCACTGGGATATGAGCTCCAGGAAGGTAGGAATTCTGTCTTGCTTCCTATTATATCTCCAGCAACCAGTACAGTACCTGGCATACAGCAGGTGCTCAGTAACTGATGAACTGATTAAAAGACAAACAACAACAACCTCCCCCCCTCAAAACACAAAACAAAACAACAACCAAGGCTCAGACTGGAACTTGAGTTGCCCTTCTCCAGAAGTTCTTCCAACTCCCTTGAGCAAAATCAGAGCTAGGGGCATGGAGAACAGAACCAGGGAGACTCACTGACCTTAACGGTGCAGATCAACACACGGCCGGGTGCCACCATGTTGAGGAACAGCACCATGGCCTCATCTTCATGAGGGGAGTACGTGTCAAATACACGCTTTGCCATCACATGACCCTGGCAGGAGCAAACCTCTTATGAGATAGTGTTACCAGTAACGAAGAGTCCAGCTTCAGCCCTCTGGGTCTCCCATCCTTAAGCTTACCGTGGCCTGGTTGAGGACAATGACATGGATGCCTCGTCCCTGCTCTCGGGCCTCATCCTCTAGCACCTACACAGTGACAGAAACAAAATCTAGCTATTCACCCTGTCCTACAAGCATGAAACAAACCAGCCTGCCTGCATTGTCCCTGTTTATAGTTCTAACTCAGACTGAAGGCCGTCTCTCCCAGAAAGCTCCCATGGTACCCTCATCAGAAAAAGACCACATTTCTCTACAATCTACCTTTTAACATTTTCACAGCACCTAGAACTCTGGGCTGTCTCTGCTTAACTATGTTTTTTTTTTTGGTTTGGGTTTTTTTTTTGGGGGGAGGGGTTTCGAGACATGGTTTCTCTGTGGCTTTGGAGGCTGTCCTGAACTAGCTCTTGTAGACCAGGCTTGTCTCGAACTCACAGAGATCTGCCTGCCTCTGCCTCCTGAGTGCTGGGACTAAAGGCATGTGTCATCACCGCCTGCCTGCTTAACTCTGAAGCTCCCATAATCCTCTACTAGTAAGCCTCTCTAGGAAGAGCAAGTTACCTCCAGGACCCCAGTGCCTGGGCCAAGGCTGAAGCTAAAGGTACTACAAAATGGTTATGTAATAAGTAAATCAGGAAGTCAGTGGCCTGCTAATGCTCCTGATCACTTGAGACTTTGCCACAAGACATTTCCTATACCTTTCACTTAATCCTAACAAGTAGAAACCATTAGTCATATGAACAGGGCTTCAGTTCCCAGTCCTGAATGGACTGCAGGTGTTGGTTCACTCACTGTGGTGCCATCCACGGCCACATACACTTTGCTTCTGCTTGAGTACACTTCCACATCCAGAACACGTCGACTGCTGCCTCTTCGACGAGGCGACTCCAAGCGTCCTAGGGCCTCATCTGGAGAGGGGGTTGTTGTGACAGGCATGGATAATGTCTCACTAGCAGAGTCTCCACCCTGTGACAGGATCTGCAGGCCCCTCTGCCATGAGATCCCGGGACCCCCACCCCCATCCCATCTTAGATCCCCACCATAGTCTTGCTCTGGTTCTGGGTCTTCATTGGCTTCATTGATTGCTCTCCGAGTGTCTAGGATCAACTTGATATTGACAATGACAGTCACCAGCAGGAAAAGCACGGCCCCTGTCTGAGTGGAAAGACGGGGATGACTGAGGCACATCTCCTCCAGGTCGTAGAGGCTGTATGAAAGTTTGACCCTGGCTGTAGGGGACACAGGGAGAAAGAGCCTGGGACCTGTCTCTCCTCCTTCTGGTTTTCAATCAGGACACAGGTTTGTAGCCATCTCGTGGAGACCTCCCCTGACAGGTCTATCTCCATCAGGCCCTTCTTACCCAGATCTCTTGTATTTTTCCATTTGAGTCCTTGGCTTCCTTGGTCCCCTCCATAACTAGTTCCTAGAGATGGATTTAGGACCCAAGAACCGCAGTGGGGAATCAGAAGACACAGAACCTAGGTCACACTGACTGAGAATTGTGTGTCAGGGGCAAAGCCTTCCTGACAGACTTTGGTTTTTGTTAGATACCTAGGAGGTCAGACTTGGGTTCTGATTCTAGAATCCTGGGTCTTACCACTGCCTGAGAAGGACAGGACACACAAGAGATTTCCCCTCCGGGAATCTGATGTCTCTTCCTGGTGGCCAAGGTAGTTAGTTCACAGTCTATGCTAGGGTAAAGTTAGGAGGCCAGCTTTCCCGACATGTGGCACCTCATTTACCTGACAGAATCTCCGCAGGGCCCGCTGGTTTGTCAGTTTATACTTCCAAGTAAGATACCAGCTCCGTTTCTTTCTAGCCCCAAAGGGCTTGATGAGGGGACTAGGCTTCCAGTCATCCATACTGGATTAGGGAGTCACCCCTGTCCCGGCCAGTCCATGACTTCAGGAATCTGAGGGGACCATAGAGTCACATGGAGTAAGATGCTTTGCCCAAAGCCTAATAATGCCTTCCGGAGAGATGAGGACTTCTTAGCAACACTTCTCTCAGCAAACTGCTGAGCTAGCTGTGTGACCTAAGCAACGTGGCTCAACTTCTCTGGGTCAGACCAGAAAATCTTTAGAGGAATTGGATCACCTGAAAATTCCCTAGGGCTGGAGGAACTAAGACCAGGCTCAGGGCCTCAGAGGGGAAGGCCAAAACTCAACTCTCACGATTCATCAGTCCCTACAAGGTGCAAATCCCAGTCCTTTCCAGTCCCAGGGTGGACCAGTTAATAGCGACCTATCGAACCCTAATCCTCCACCCTACCCCATCCCATCTGGGTCAGCTCCTCTTCTCCCAGGGCTCAGGGACGCCGGAAGGTTCGGAAGACCCACCCAGCCCACGTCAG